GATTAAAAAATCGCACTATTCTGATTAAATTATTACAAAAACCACTTTTTAATTATAAAATTCAGAACAGTTTTCGATACTCTTTTTCTAATCTAATATTGTTTAATTTTTTAATTGCATTATGCTTTATAAAAAACATATTCTTTTTCTGTGAATATAAAAAAGAAAATGGAATTTTTTGCAATATTTGTGGTATTTTAAATTAATTATTTATAAAATATGACAAATAATTTACATTAATATACAATTATTTCATATTATAGAAATAAAACATTTGCAAAGATAAATTTTATGCAGTTGCATTACACAGCAGATAGAGTATAAATACCACAATTAACATTATTCATAACAATTCATCAAAATTTTCTGACTGACTTTAAAATGGAATATCTTTAAAATATATATAGTTTTGTTTAATAAATCATTACATATACTCAATATGACATCAGAACAATGCGATTTTCTTCGATAACAAGATTTCTTCTTTCCACTGGTAATTGTTGTAAACACTGGTATCGCCTAAAGCGTAAAACAAAATAGACGGTAAATCGCCTTTAAAGGTACAAGTTTCTTCCTTCTAGTGGAATTAACGCTGGCATTAAATGCCGCCTGTGCAACGTTTCTTCTAATTTATTGTTATTCTTTTGTACAAGTGTGTGGGATGGGTTCAAACAATACGGAGCAGAAAAAGGGTGCAGAAGATGAAATATTATTTGGCAGTTCGGCATTTGTCAGATGTAAGTCAGACTGTTCGACGGTTCAGCGACCCAGTTACAATCTCGATAATTCAATTGACATTAAAATGAATTCGGGAGTGACGTTCATTTATCATTGCCTGGAAATATAGTTGGCAATGGCTATGTGCAGAGGAAGAAAAATATCTTTTCGTTTCAGTAAATTCAAATTTTTAATCCATCAAGTTAATATATATTAAATTTAAATTAATTTATCAATTCTTATATTAAATGTATTTTTTACTAAAAACATGTAAAAAAAATTGATCTAAAATTCTTCTACTAATATGTCTTTTAATTTCTTAATGTCCATCAAGTACTTATTTTGCTTGCAATTAGTAATAATGCACAAGAATTTACAGCAAAGATATTTTTCCTCATTTGGGAGCGAATATAACTCATGAGAATATAATGTATATTGTTATCTTGTCTCTGTTGTTTTAATTAATACTCAGTCAGATATTGGCACAGAGAATTGTACTAACAGTATGGAAACAGTTATAGGGGAGACATCAATCGAGCTTGCGGTATTACGCTGATAGGTTACAGAACCGCAAAGCTTCACCGATATATAGACTATATTATTTATGTATGATAAATTAACTTATATTGTAACAGGAATGTATGAAAAGTGAAAACAAATGAAGAAATGTAAAGCTGTCGTTTCTTTATAATGATAATTTGTTAAAACTCGCATGAAGTATTGCTATCAATTTATCTTATAGCAAAAATATTCCAAAATCTTGATTATTAATTGTAATCAAGAAGTTAAAAATTTTCTCAAGAATAAAAATATTTATTTAAAATCGTATCGCAAGGAAAAAATTTAGAAAATGTAGAAATACCTAAACAGCTCTAAGCTCAGTCTTTTTTCTATTTTCTAAATAACAAAAAATATGAAACAAATAATTATTAAATTAATCAAAATGTGAGTTTTTAAATTAATTCCGATAACAAAATATAAATAAATGTTAAACATAGTTCTCTTAGAAGAATAAGGTTACAATAGCAATAAAAACAAGTAAAAATTTTTGATGCAATACTTATCAAAAGTCTGTTTCACAAAAAATTAAATTCAAAACATTACAAAATTTATCTTATAATTTTGTCAATTAAAAGCAATTTAAAGATTAAATTCTAATGATAAATTATATAAAAAATTAAATAAAACTATTTTGAAAGTTAATATTAAGATTTCGATTAACTTGAAGGTAAGGGTAAATGTCTTCAATCTTAATTACGTATTATTTACTAATCAATCGTAGATCTCAGTCTTTCAGCAAATTGCAATACGTGTGTAACGTCACTCCAGAATAAATGAATCGTATTTACGTCTTCGTATTCATCGTTTTCGTCTTATCTTCGACTTTTTTAATAAAAGACATTTGTCTGTAGTTGCTAATGTAAAAAATTAATTTTTAAAAATATTCTGTTTATCTTCAACGCATGTACCTATTGCATTATTACAGTGCTGGTTAATCTTAATTTGCGACACATTTATTAAACAATTACGTTTAAAATTGTTCCCATAATGTTTCAACATTGAAAAATTTTATTCAACTGAGGTAGTAAAAGATGATTTGTTGTTATTTTAGAATAAGAATGTTAAACAACATTTTTTAATTAATTAAATAAAAATATTTACATAATTTGTGTTATAAATCTATCTTGGTAGCAATCTGATGTTATTTTTATCGTCATTTTGACATTAAGGAAATATAAAGAAATTATGTTAAAGAAATATAAATACTCATTTTTAATATTAAATAAAAATTTAATTTAATATTATTTGAATAAAAATGCTAATAAATATTTTATTTAAATTGTTGGTATTGATAAATTTTAATTCTGAGAAAATATAAAAAGTTTTTTGTTATAGTTATTCATAATTTGCTCTTATTAAAGAAAAAATTCTCCTATGAAATTATCTCTAATAAAATATATCGTTTAAATTGAATTATGTCACAAATTAAGAACTATCAACATTGATTTACATATATAAAGAATTAATAAGTATAGTGCCATCGTTATATAACTGGGTCGGAACGTTGCGATCATGTAAAAACGGAAGAGGAAAATTAGAAAAACATTCAATCGACGTCATCGGTATAAAATAATATAAAAATATGATTATGTATTCAAGATAAAGGATTCTCCGTTATTTTGTCTATAGTATAATAATAATTGTAACCTCGTAAACTTTTACGTTGACTATTGGATGACGAAGATTCTTATTTTCCTGTTTTCTTGTATTCTATCGCACGCTTTGCTCGCTTACTATCTTTCATTCCAAATTAATCATATTTCTTTTTTATTTTGTCAAAGAATACACTATACACTATCGATATAATCCATTATTCATTGAAGAAAAGAAGAATCCGTTTACAGATAAATAAAACGATTTCTCCCGTTCTTCGATGAAACTCATAATTATGTTTCAAGGAGAGACATCCCATACGCATACTCGTCGCATTCTTATCTCACGGTATATCAAAGTTATATATTTACCTCAAGCACTATGATTGCTTTTTAATCCATCGAAATACAGCGCGTAGATGTAAATTCATCTGAAGATCTTTATGTTCGGAGTTTTTAATTGAAGAAAGTTTATAAAACAGCATTTGACAAATGGATGAATTTCTTCAACATCTGTTTAACGTAACCTGAATAGATAGAAATTATTTAAAGAGCACTTGGACATAGTAGAGCCAGAAGAAACCAACTTGAAAATATTGTTTCTTTATTTAATTTTTCTTAAAAATGTTATTATTCTCTTATATACATAATCTTATATTATCTTACACTTACTGTTAAGAACTACATTTTAATATTAAACTTTTTTAATATTTCTTTTGGTTTAATCATATGCAGAAAATTTGTCTACGGCATTCTCCATTGTTAAAAAGATCGCATTATTAAAAATGAAGTAAGAAACACGTTTAAGAAGTTATCTCAAAAGTTTACAACTATATTTTGTTAGAATCAGTTGATTTCTTCTTAACTACATGAGTCCTTCTGATATACACAATCGATCCCATCTTTGCTGCATTTCGTACTTTACTTTATTCCGCGAAAAAATACCCGAAAATATGAATTTTCCAATGATTCTCTTTTTTTTTATCAAATCTGTTTTTCACTTTTTCTCTCCTTCTTGTACCAATTTTAGTTCAATTTACACGTTTCTACATTTTCACACGTCTTTCTCATACTCTCTTGCGTTTTTCTTCACGATATACATGTGCTTTTGAGCTTAATATCAATCTCAATTTCAATGTCAGCTTTCCTACATTACAAAGAAAACACATTTCAAAAACCTCGCGTATTCTTACGCTTACTTTTCGCATGATCTCGCAAAAATATTCATCTTGAGCAAAACATTCGTATGTATCTACTATATTAAGAGTATACGTATAGGGTCGACAAATAAAACCGGACGATGTGCCAAAATTTCACGACATCTCACACACTGGAGGAAAGGTGAGCATTCTTGTTAACTATTCATTCCGACTGTGAATTTTGTCAGTGAATGCAAAAACATTCACTAGAGAATTTCTCGACGAGAAAGTCCGCCTTATTCAAATTATCACTATTGGATACGTCAACATTAATCATAGTCTCGGTTGTCCGGTTTTCCTATCTACCCTGTATAAACATTTTTATCAATTCGGCACTTTTTTCAGAAGAATAAAAATAAAAAGACACATATTTTCTTTGTATAACATAATATATGGTATATATAGGCTATACCACATATGTAATCGTAATTTTTGCACTAAAATAGAAAATTTTTACGATAACACTTTAGAAATGAAATTAAAAAAATGTTGTCCTGTGTGCCTTTCTTCGCTTATAATCTGCCAACACATCCAATCGGAGCTGAATTGATACGTTTAAATCTTGCGCGACATCCTGATTACTTCCGGCTAATCGATATACTTTGCACGAACATAGTGATCATTTCACTGAGGTAACTTGTTTATAAGATCATCTAAACAATAGATAGTTCGGTTAATCGACTCGATTATTCTAAGATAACAGGAATATATATATTAGTAGTAAAAAGAAATCCATTATTTTTGCAT